ATAAATTATATATATATATATATATATATATATATAATTAATTTAATATATATTTAATATAAAGAATTTACATGTATAATTTACATAAAAATAATTGTAAAAAAAATCTTCACAGGTCAGAATATTAGAATATTTTATCTAAATAAATAAAATAGGACTAATAAATAGTATTAAAAAGCAATAAGTAAATAATATATTGAATGTAAATAATTTACATTTATAATGTACAAATTACAAATGAATGTACAATTTAAATTAATAATTTATTTAAAAGATAAACAATTCAATAAATATATTCACAGGTCAGAAATGTAATAAATATTTAATATAAAGAATTTACATTTATAATTTACATAAATATTAAAAAGTACAAATCTTCACAGGTCAGAATATGATATTATAATATTTAACTAGCTAAATAAAATAGGACTAATAAAAATAGTAAAAAGCAAGCAGTAAAATAATAATAAAATATTAAGTAATGTACAATAAAATTAATAACAATGTACAAGGAATGAAAGATATGTAATTATATTTAATAGAAATAATTGACATTTGTAATTCATTAAAACATTTTAAACAATTTAATAAATATATCCACATGTCAGAATTTTAAAAACATTCAAAATATTGGACAAATAAATCCAGTAAAAAAAGAAGCAAGAAATATTAAAAAATATTTATGATTAAGATGAATAAAACTTAATAAATAAAAATACACTAAATAAAAATGTATTGCAATGAATCAAAAAGCCTAATAATATTTAGAATTATGTTTATAATGTTTTTGATAAAAGTAATTATAAACAATTAAATAAATATCTTTGCAGGTCAGAACGTGAAATTATTATAAAATAAATAAAATTGGACAAACAAAAAGACAGTAAGCAAGCAAGAAATATAGAAAATATTAAAATTAATAAAAACTAATCGAAATGCAATACAGTGAATAAAGAGATGTATTATATTTAATATAATTTAAATTCGTAATTAAATAAATAAATATTCACAGGTCAGAATGTGAAAATATTTAACAAAATAAGTAAAATAAAAACAGTAAAAAGCAAACATTTATTAATAAAATGGATACTTAATAAAAAACTACAATTATTCTAGAATTTCAAATAATTAACATTTATAATTTATATAAAAATAATTATAAATAATTAAGATATCACATGGATTTTAACTTTTATCTCGGGGACAAATTTAAGGTTTATCTAAGATGCCTAAGTATTTTTTTTCTTTACATAAGTCTATGACACATATGTTACATTGTCATCAAAACAAAATATGATGTACAAAATCACTTGATGTTTTTGTGATAGGTAGTTTCATATGGTGACAATGCTAACTATGTTATCAAATGATTTCTTTATTAAAAAAAAATATTAAAGGCGGTACAGTTTCAGCTGCCACTGAAAAGCACTGCAGTGGTTAAGGGTTGATTGTGTGTCCAGCTCATAAAACCTGACCTGAATACTACAGAAACCCTGAAAAAATGACATGCCAAAAGTAGAAAGTCATCAAGTGTCATGCCAAAAACAACCGTCCCCCCACACAAGCGCACTTTTATTTCTGGGTAATAAACCTCAGTCAATCTCTACTGAAATATATCTCTGTTTTATCCATAAAACTGCTCAGCCCTGGAGAGAAACTTAATACAGACAATCACCAACACCAACACAAGGACTCTGAACAAAGTAAGATTCCTTCAAATCCGTCTGTCTGTCTGTATATCTGCCTGTCTCTCTGTCTGTTTCCGTTTTTAAGAAATCTAGTTCGATATTTTTTGGGCTGATGACAAATGGAGGATGCACAGATGTTGGTTTATGAGTTTCAAGGACTGGGATCAGGAGTGCTCAGCCTTGAGGTGTTAACAAAGAGATGTTTGTTATGACAGCGGCAGGAGCCTCTCAGGAGCCTCGCAGGAGCTGCTCAGGGGCCACTGGAATCTCCAGAACTTCCTTACGTTCCATGTCACATGATGCAGAGATGCATACACACACACACACACACACACACACACATATATATATGTATATATAAAAATTAATTATTATATAAGAATAACCCACGAATGAACATGCAAACTTTGAATGGTAACAATATGCCAGTGTAGTCCAGCAGAGGGTATTGTTGGATAGAAGTTAGCAAGCTTTCCAACCTAAAAGACAAAACAACACTTTATATCTCCTTGTGAGATATTATATATGATTTGAGTTCCACATCCTTTTTAACGACAAAATGCTTTTTAAATGACCATTTATGGTGCTTTATTTATGCGTATTTTTTCAGCAGGTTCAATTCTTACTAAATAGGACTTCATTTCCCAGCATGCAACCAAAGCAGTTCCGGATCGTCTCTGAGCAGCTGCATGCTGGGAAATGTAGTCCTCATCCTTGTATTCCGTTCCCACCGTCTCCGACGCGAAAGATGCCGGCCGTACACCACAAATTATTACTCGAGGAGGCCTTGCAAGACAGTCCGCAGGTAAAAATTCCTTTACTAGACCTTTGTTCAATGCTTTAGTACTCATAACTGTTTAGTTTTGTGCGTTTAGCGTTGCAAAACTGATGATGCGGTTGTCGCGACACGCGTCGCAGCGCGTATGTACCAGCTAATCTAAATAAAACTTCGTTTTAGGTCAAATTTAAGTGTACGATTAAGCGGAGAATCACCTCAGCTCATTAAGTTCATATCATTGCATGTATGGTTAATCTTTAAAGCTTTTTATTTCAGATAAGCGCCATAGACGAGACGCATCCTGCACGTATGTTGTTGATCATATGTTTATTAATATGAGAGACGCGCGTCAAACAATCGTGCATCTGACGCTACAAACGCGCGTCTTATTAAATGCTTTGACGCTTTAAGGTTGTAAATTTGTTGCTGGTAGTGGAGTTGTGAATGAAGGGGCCTGTATGGGAGGAGTGAGATGTTGTTTAGGTGATCCAACCCACTCAAGTCTGATATTGATACATTAGACCAGATGAATCAGATATTAATATCAAATCTGAGACATCAACGTCAGGTACGTCAGGTCAGAAACAACAACAAATGATATTCAGTATCAGCTCTACAACTGACAGGTCTGAGGTATCAAGTGAAACAAAAAACGTTTGATAAACGTTGATATAACATTGTTTCATGCATTGCATTGTCTTGCAACAGGTTTTGACTATTAATGTCTATGCAAAAGTCATAATTAAGCCTAGTAATTTGCATGTTATTTCATAGCAGTTCAAAAGCGTGAAGCCTCTCCCGCATACTTGTGATATTCTCAGTGAACTAATGATTTACTTTATAAGCAGGAGTTATTTGTCTGAGTCATAACCCCATAATGCTCTGCGCTCGAGATTATGAACCCACAGATGTGTCCGCCCGGCCGTTCGCATTGTTTGCATTGGAAACACACCCAAAAGTCTGTCCTGATCCTTGACAGAACACACCTGTGGATACACCCAGCATGCTTCACGCTGCACGAATGCTTGTTGGGTTCATTTAGCACATTTGACACTGTGTGAATATGGAGAATTGTATGCGTCCTGTGTTCACTGGCGTTTGTGTTGCAGACGCGGTCCTTGCTCAGTGTGTTTGAAGAGGATGCAGGCACGCTCACTAACTACACAAACCAGCTGCTCCAGTCTATGCAAAGAGTGTTTGGAGCACAGGTACACACACAACACACATTTTCACATTGACTTCATCAGTAAAGTTGTCTGTATTTTTGAATAAATGTTCAGTTTGTTGTGCACAAATGATCAGTGCATGTTATTTTAAGGGTAAAAGTTTGTTTTTATGGTCTTTTAGCAAACTTTCTTCACATGTGAAACAAATGTTCTTTTCTGATGATGTCACCAGGGCCACAGGGGTGCGGAAAATAATAATAACCAATAGTATCATAGCATAACATTTACGGTCCAATCAAATTCCAAAGGATTTAGTCCCGCCCTGCAGTAGGGTTGTGACGGTGAAGAAATTTTCCCACCGGTTAATCGACGTGTGACAACACCGGTAATACCGGTATCACCGTGGGGGCGGGGCGTTCCCTCTTTTCCTCGCTTTCCTTCGCTTTTAAATAGCTTGTAAAAGTGGCGTGCGCATTTTATTTTCACTTTGAAATAGCGGCAATTTGGCGTAAAGCAATTGTTCGTTTGAATTTTCCCTCTTTTCCATCGCTTTTAAATAGCTTAAAAGCGCCGTGCGCATTTTACTTTCACTTTCGAATTAGCGGCAGGTCGGCGTCAATTGCTTGAATGCAACAACAAAATACAACGTCAAACTCACTTTAGCGTATATATAAAACATTTATTAACAAAACAAATAAAAATACACCACGCTATAGGGCAGGCTATGCCTACTATAAAATAACAAATAACTTGCATAAAGTTTAA